CTCCCCCCACTTCTCGTAGAGCGTTTGCTGTGGGGAAATGGAGGGGGATGAGGACCTCGTGGGAGGATGTCCCCGGCACCCCCCCTCCCGATAACCCCCAGCATCACCCCCCTCACCTTCAGGTATTGCAGCCGGGCCTCCAGCTCGGCCCTCCGGATGGATGTGCCATAGAGCGTGTCGAGTCTGTAAGGCAGCAGCCATCAGTGTGGGGGCTGGGGGGCACCTGGGATCCCCCCACACTCCCCCAGCTCACCGGAGCATGTTGCCTGAGCTCTTGATGATCTCCACGATCTCGCGGTGACGGATGCCCTCTACATTCAGCCCATTCACCCCTGTGATCGTGTCCCCTACAATGCGGGGTCCACAGGCTCAGGGACGCTGGTCCCTGCTGCTGGGGCCCCCCAGCCTCCCCCCGGGGATGCGCTCACCAGCCTTGAGTCCCGCCGCCTCAGCTGGGGTCCCACCATGCACCCGACACACGAAGGTGAACATCTCCACGCTGTTCTTGTCCTGGTGGTGCAGCCCGTAGGTCTGAAACAGGGGGGCTGGTGAGGGGTGCTGGGACTCCCCGACCCCCGGGGTTCCCCCAGGCAGCAACCACAAGGTGGCAATTGTGGTATTTAATTGCTGCCGGGTGATGCAGGCGGGGCTGCACCCCGGCCCAAAAAGGGGGTGTCTCGCCCCAGATAGCTGCGCCCCAAGCGGGCCCCCCCCGGCTGCCCCCACTGTCACAGCCGGGGGAGGCTTCAGTAACCAGGCAGCTCCGTCAGTGCTAAAAATAAACCCTGGCTCAGAGACAATTTAAAAATACCCTCAATGCAAAGCAAGGTGCGGGCTGGAAGGGTGGGGAGCGTGGCACGGCATGGCCTTGGCACAGCTCGGCACGGCGCGGCACAGCACCCACCTGGATCTCAAAGCCAAAGGTCTCATCCGCCTTCTTCTCCAGCGTCACCACCCTCCTGGGGGACATGGTGATCAGGGACAAGGCAGAGCCCCTGACATCCCCCACTCTGACTCGCCTGCCGGGACCTCAGGCACTTCTCTAGTGAAACGTGGCTTTGGGGTTTGGGTTTTTTTCTCGGTGCTGGACAGGACCCCAAGAACAGGACACCCCCCCCCCCCCCCCCCCCCAAAGGTTGCCCTTGGCCAGAGCCTTGCAGCCTGTCCCATGGGTGCCAGGCAGGGTTCCCCCCAGGGTCTGGAGGTTCCAGGGACCCCCAGGGAGCTGTGTCCCCATCGCTCCTCTCACCTGCCCCAGGTTCCCCCATAAAATCACCCCCATTTTCCACCACCATGGGGTGTCCAGAGTGGAGTAGTGTCCCAGGGCCAAGCCCTAACCTGCTGGGACGTGGACCCCCGCCCTGCTCCTGTGTCCCCCCTCCGTCTCGGACCCCGGTCCCTACCTGTGCTCCTCCGGAGACTGGCTTGGGGATGCCCACCTGAACCCCGCACCCTGCGGCAGAGGGAGAGCTGTCAGCGGGGGACACTGTCCTGGGGCACAT